AGATGACAATAATATGAGTGTGGATAATTGTATGCAGTAGGTATAGTAGGGTAAATTTGTGGAAATTCTGATCCAATTGTTGTTTCTCACTGAATTAGGCACCTAGGTAATTAGCTGAGAGTGAATATGGAGGAGAAGGGGCTAGAGGTTTGAGGAAGAGGAAATTATGAAATTCAAGAGCATAAGAGAATAAATGAGCTAAGAAAAAATGATTGCCAATTAGGGTAACCTTGAGGTTCATGGTGATGAATTTGAAGGACAAGTAGTTATTTTGGTAGACATTATTGTTTTGCCCAGGTACTCTTTTTATTATTGTTTCTGTATACACCAGCTTTGTTGGGTTTTTAATAGCTAGCAGCTGTGGCTCTTTTTTTGGAGAACTGTCCTTCTGCTATCTGAGCCTCCTTTGTCCTGAATGTTATAATGCCTAAGATGGCCCTTAACCACAAGTGATTCAGGAGTCTGAAATCTCCATCATCTTTGCTTCAAAGGTAAGACAGCTCTCAGGGTATTAGACACTGCAGAGTTCTCCCCTTGCCCCAATACCTGCCTACACTCCCAGGACTTAAGGCTGAAGCTACCCTCTTAGGAACTTTGTCTTAGAGCATACCCTGGCTTGTCTTTCTTCCCTTCCCTGACCAGTTTCTCCCAATTCTTTATTAGTTTATCAAGCCCTTCCTTAAGTCATTTGGCCACACATGTTTTTACTCAGGGTCTGCCTCTCACAAGCTTAGCCTAAATCAATAATTATGACCATATGTTTCTTTCTCTAGCTACTTTCAATTCTATAAGTATAAGCAGATAATTGGATTTAATTAGGATGGGGATTTTTACAAGCAAATACCATGAAGTAAGAAAAGGGCAAGTGTATTGAAGGTGCATCAAGGTAATGGTTATGTGATTTACCATTAAATGTAGGCTAGTTAAGGAAGGATGTGGTGAGGGGAGGTGAGTGAAAAGAAGTAGGATCAAGGTACAAGGTACAAGCCAAAGTGAGTAGAAAAATAGATGAGAGAAATGCTTACTGTCAGATCAGGCTGGGCAGGCAGCAACCAAAGTTGGCAGATTTAAAAGGGCCGCTGAACAGGCTTTATTGAGATATCACTCCCGGTGGAACCAAGTGAGGTTTGAATCATTTGCAGAGTGCATCATTTGGGCAGTCAGAGGGAACAGTTGTGCAAGTTAAAAGCCTAAATCAGGAAAACAATTGCAAAAGTTCAAAACCCATTTGTTGCTGGGAAAGGATGAAAGTCCAGAGTCCAGAGCCCATTGTCCTCCTTTCTCCTTGGGGGTTGTTGTTTTCCATATCCTTCATTCCAGACTCTGAAAGAGGATAATGAATTGGGGTGTCAATACCAAGTCTGGCTGCTTCCTGCTGAGAAGGGGTGAAGTAGGGAGACCCGCCCCTTTTCAGAGTCCTAGTGCCCAATGTGGGAGCGGAATCTCATGACATGAAACTGGAGAGAGCAAAGAGTCTGGAATGATAATGAAGAAGGATGCAGACTACATCTCCAGACCCAGGGGATGACTGATTGGAAAAAAAATCTGCCCCTTGGGAAGTCTGCAGAATAAGAACAGGGAGGAAGACCACCATGGTGGTCTCAATGCCATGGCACTATGTTAAGAAATGGGATAGGGTAGTATTACTACACTCAGGTTCTTGTGTCCAGAACTGGTTGAAATGAAAACTGGACCCAGAAGAATTTAAGCACAGGCAAGATTTTATTACGGGCTTCTGCTCAAGACAGAAGGGAGACAGCACTGACCAACAGTGTCAAGCTGGCTCAAACAAAGGACAAGGGAATATGTAAGCATTTATGGCATCTACATAGTAGGAAGGAACCTGATCTCTTGACGTCGTCACATGTAGTGTTGGGATTTTAGTTGCACCCGTACTCCTCTTCATACATCATGTCTCCTTAGGTCTCCACCTGGGGGTTCTGTTTTACTATGCTAATGAGTTGAAGGTTTCCTGTGGGTTACTTTAGTGACTGATATCCACATGTGCATGCATTTGTCCTTTACCCTGGTTTGCCCCTTATCATCTGGGAAAGTCTGACAGCATTTTCAGAATGAAGCCAACTATTGTACTGTTTCAGTGAACTGTTTCCAATGATTTTGCTTTGGCTCCAGTTTCTTGACATTTCTGCTGACCACATAATCTCAGAAGGCTGAGCTAACTCCTCAGCTTCCCATCTCCTGGTGTGTTATCTCACTCTCATAGCCTTGAAGATGGATGCACTTTTAAATTCCTAATTTTCTGGTATGACTGTTAACCCCATAAGACAGAGAGCTAGCTTGGCTCTTATTTCCCCCAACAGGTGTTTATCTCTTAATCCTAAGGGGTCCTGTTTTTCATAGTGCTCCGTGACTATCTCCGTAGGTTGTTGGAGCTTGGGAGTAGCAGTCTAAAGCTAAGTACTCTGGGTTTACTTTTTTGTTTTTATGATGCCAATTTAAAAATATTTTGTTCTCCAACATGAATTGCACTTTCCTTTTATTTACCACAAGGATAAAATGCAACTGTAATTTTTTCATGGTGTATATTTATTCAAAATGTCTAAGGAAATGTTACATAGTGCCTTAAATATGATTTTTAAATGCCATCAAAGTAACTATTTACAAATCAGTGTTCTTCAAATGTCAAGACGGTGTTCAAACTTCGTTGTGATTTGGTTGGCTTAATTTGTATCTGTAATCATGGTTCCAAAAGAAGCACCTCTGGAAGAATAAGCAACTACTCCCAGGGAAATTGCTCGTAGAGCACCTAGCATGGTGCCTGCTCTCTGGTCACTGAGACATGGTGGGGTTTGGGACCTTCTCCAGATCTTTCTGCTGATGTTAAATTCTTTCTACTCAGTAATCTGATTCATGTCCAGCCATTTGATAATTCCATTGCACTTGTCAAGAATCTTCTGTTTGAATTCATCTTCCACTGGGGCCTATTAAATATCTAAGATCTGAGCAACTTCTTGGTGAATATTTTGACTCTTTGTTTCTCATTTCACATTTTTTACTTTTAAGTCTTAATGACCATATATACTTAATGTTGTCCATTCTCAAACACCATGTCAGTGGTCTTTTATCTTCATGTTTCCTGATCTTTTATCTTCAGCAAACATGTCTCAGATGCTTTTGGAAACTGTATCAAGTTACTGGAATCCATGGAAATCCAGAGGATACAGGAGGAAGCCTAAGAGTTCAAGTTTTCAAAGTTGGTTCTTATTCTTTATCATTGCTCAATCACATAAAACTGAACAAACCAATTGATTGTGGAGAGTAGATGGTGAAGGTCTGAGGCTGCTTGGTGTGAACAGCCGTATTGTACTTGGTCAGAATGTCATGGCTCAACAGTGGTTTCCATGCCAATGGATAAGGAGTAACACAGAGAAACTGCAAATCCTGAATATTTTCAAATTTATTTCTGGACAAGGGATAAGATTTAATGGGACAAGATGGCCACCTAGGTAGCTGCAAACATAACTAACACTTATAGGGTTGGTTCTTTCTTTTTTCCAGCTCTTCTATTGAAGAAGTCCTACAGTAATTTCTGAGCTTTTGAATCTAGTTTGATATCTAGTCAAAATCTTCTCCAACCCAGTGAGGTCTCTAGCTACACATCTAAATGTAATGATTGCATTTTTGTTAATAGAAATTGGACAAGCCAAAAGTGCTTATAGGTTGTAGATAAATATGTTTCTTTTAGCATGGATATCTTATCCAAATCTTAAACGTTGGCTCAGTGATGATCATTCTTACATTGAGGCTACCTCTGATACAGATTCTCTGAAGGCCTGATGGTTGCAGTGGTTAAACTTAGCCCATGCTATCTTGACAGTGTCAGTGATAATCCTCCAGTGCAGGTGAGCTTCTGCATTTTTTTTTTTTTTTGCCTTTGTTAGAACCACAGTAAGTATTTCCTCAGAAGAAAAGTTTTCAGTTTTTTAATTGATGTTTTGGGGATAAAATTCATATAATATAAAGTTCACAGTTTTAACAATTTTGAAGTATATGATTCAGTATATTCACAATCACCATTAACTAATCTAGAACATTTTTGTGTCACCTCAGAAAGAAACCTCATGCCTAATTCCCTCCTCCCCCATCTATTAGCAGCCACTAGTATAATCATAGAATTAGATGGTGCCAAGATCATTGCTCTTTAATACGAGTCTGGGAACAATGTTTCTGGCTTATAGGAGATGGAGCTGCTGCTGCATTCAGTCTGGGCTCACTATTGTTCTTTCCTGATTGAGGGTGGAGTCCTAGAGAGAAATTTTAGATTTTTTTTCCTCATTTCTCATATTACCTAATGCCTCTGGGATTTATTCCTTTGCTTATTTGGTTCAGGGTCTCTCTTTTATACTATTAAATTCTTCAAAAGTTAGGTGATGCTTAACTGCTCATGTTATAAATGAAGGTGTAGATTGGATAGTTTTGTTAATTGGAGTGTATATCCTTAGTAAATGTGAGAATTATTGTACACCTGGAGAGGAAAGCCAGTGCACTGGTGTCCATTAGTTACCAGTGGCACTTTTGTACTTTCCTGGCCCAGATGCTGCTCACTCTGGGATCTCATTTATCTCTCCTTTTGTAGAGAGCTGAATTTAATTGCTAGCCTTAGTGACATATGGGGTTCTCTCTCCAAGGGCAAATAAAGGGTACTAACCCAGCTGTTCCAGCATCCTTTAGTGCTTTTCTGACTGATTACCTGAAATTTCTTCTCCCAGCCTTTATTTACTTAGATCTATACATTGCCGTGGGTTACTTCTGACAGAACATGATTTATAGTCAGGTGGTGAGGTCCACTCTTCTACTAGTGTGGGTCATAGATTCTCAGCTACTAGTATATTACATACTGTGAAATGCTGATAGCACTACTGTTGCCTTTCCAACATTCAGGTGGATTCCTTTTCACTTCCTGTCTCTTCTGACATTTCCGCAGGATTTGAAGAAGGAAAACATATCCTGTAACTCACCTTTTCTTTGCTTTTATCTAGATCAGGGCAGTCCAATCCAACCTTTCATCTCAAGAAGGGCTTTCAAGCATATGTACTCAGGAAAAAGCCACCAGGTTCACTTCTTCCTAAAGCACATAAGGTATGGCACATAAATGTAATGGTATATTTTTTGGTGACAAGTAAATGCCTTTTATACACACAAAAATAATCTAAATTGCTTTTTAAAAGTTATCTTCTGGCTAATAAGTAATAGAAAAATGAATTTATTTCTAATTAAATTTTACTTGAATTTTATCCCTTTTGTTTTAGAAAAGAATTTGGGATTGAAATATAAGACTATCTCAGGCCATTCATCTTGATAAACAATCATCTTGTGGAATTTGGTTCCTCCCTGTGTACTTGGCAAGAAATATAATGAGCCCATGAATATTTTCAGTATTGCTCATTTTTTAGATGTTTTGTTTTTGTTATATACTTAAATATTATATCTAATAACACTATCTATTTGCTGAAATATTTTAGTATACTTGCTACAAGGCTTTAATCTTTTGGTGATAAAAAGACTTGAGGGCTGGGGTTGTGGCTCAGTATTAGAGTGCACCTATATACTCTGGTTTCTCTTCAGATCGTATAAATCTTTCGCCTTTTAGAGTGCACCTAGCATGCGGGTTTGATTCTTAGAACCACATATAAATAAATAAGTTAAATAAAGGTCCATCAACAAGTAAAAACAAAAAAAAAGAGTTGAACAGAATTTTAATGTATTCTCTAAATATTAGACTTAGCAGTGAGAATTATAAAAGATTTTTGTTAAAAACTAAGTTTTTCTAATTACCCTGAGTTGATCATTTCAATGTATATGTGAATCGAGTCATCACATTATATCTCAGAAATATGTACAAATATTATGTTCAATCAATTTTTTAAAAAACAACTAAGTTTTCCTTTTTGCATAAATACATATTGTCTATGGATATTTAGAAAATAAGCCAGGACATAAATCACAATACTGGAGAAGAGTGAAAACACTATGCATATTTAGGATGTTAATATGATCTTGTTTAATAGGTGCTTCCCAGGCTTAGCTCACTGGGTAAAGACCACTGTGAGCTGAGTAATGAAAAACTGCAGATTGTAACTTTCTTGGTCCCTTCACACTAGAAGACTATGGTTGCACACTAGAAGGGACATTCGCCTAAGCTCCCTTGGGAGATATGAAAGAATGAGAAAGCCAGTGAGCAGGGAACTGCTGAGAACAAAGGAATATTTTATGATATAACCTGTGAAAAACTATTGCCTTCACAATAACAGATCCAGGATTAGACCCTGTGCCCATCCTTTTATCCTAATTAAGTTATAATTTTTTAGAGCTGATTTAGTTTATAATTATAATGATTATATTAAATTATTTCTATTATCCTCTGTATTATTTGTTGACACTGTTTTATAATTGATTTCTTTCCTTAAGGTTATCTTACAAGTAGTTATTAAATTTCTGTTTCTAATTTTTAATAATCTATCATGCTATTTAGATTGATAGAGAATATAAAGTCCAGAAAGCCTTGTTTTCCGTTGGCTTCCCTGTTCCCAAGGTTTTACTGTACTGCAATGATACTTCTGTCATTGGAACAGAATTTTATGTGATGGAACATGTGCAGGTAAGTTAATAATCTTATTTCATTTGTTCTTATTTTTAATTTTGAAGTTAAGTATGATTTATTAGATGAAATTTTATTATGATATTTATAAATGACAGTTTATTCAACTGTTAATCAGTTAATCGGTTTGCTTTGTAAAGGCTTAAATTTTTGTTTTAATTTAAGCATATACAATGAGGGAGAGATGAAATAGACTAAGAACTAATTTAATAATTAGAGAATATTGACTTATTTTTAAGTCTTCCTCTAGGTGTCAGAAAAGAGCTATCTATAAATGGCAAATTGTCCTGTAAGGTATGGGGGGATAGCACATTTCCCAAAGAAAAGATCAAACCATTAATAAAATAAATTCAAATTATTTTTTAGTTTGTTTCTGGTAAAATTCAAGTTGGGAGTAGTTTGACTTTTGTGTTCATCTTAGTACACCTTCATATTTTCCCTCTGAATGTGTACTCTTATATTGTTGCCAAAAGCTCAGTCCTTGTCCCTGATGCCAATTCAATAACAAGGATGCGAGTTTGAGAAAAAGAAAAAAGAAGATTTATTACTTTGCTAGCAAAGGAAAAATACAGGAGACCCCTGTTCCAGAAGCTGTGATTCTGCCCATCAGCAGGAACAGGGGTCTTTTAAGGAGGTGATTCAAAGCTACTTTCCCTGTGTTCTCTGTTGGAGTTGTAATTCACTTGTTAATTTGGGAGATAGTCATTTCTGAGATCTTCTGGTGCCACCCCCAAGTCTGGATTACTTCAGTCCTAAAATGGATGTGTACTCTAGGACAGATGAATCTTCCTGAAATGGGGAAGAAAGGTAATACTGTTTCCCCTGAGATTAGGGAGTGGGCGAGAGGAAGAGAAAGAAACATGTCCATTTTAAAAATAAGTTGGAAGTGGACCACTATTACAATAGTAAATGTTTCACAAATGAATGTATTTCTGACATATTCTACAAAGTATTAGTTTTGGTTTCTAGCATTTAAATTACCCATTATAATCACATCCATAGGGCCGAATCTTTCGTGACTTCACACTTCCCGGAGTTAGCCCAGCAGAACGCTCAGCCATATATGTGGCCATGATAGAGACACTGGCTCGACTGCATTCTTTGAATTTACAGACAATGCAATTGGAGGGATATGGTCCAGGTGCTGGGTACTGCAAAAGACAGGTAATGTTGTCAGTATAAAAAGCCTACTTTTTAAAGTTCCTCGAAATAAATATTGTTCATTTGTTAAAATAAAAACCAATCATTATATGGTTTTCTGAAACTTTGCTATTTGTTATTTTTACATAATTCTTTAGATTGACTTATTTTTAGGCTACTGTTTTCAGATTCTTCTTTTAACTTACAATATATTTTCTGCCTAGTCCCTCCTCCCTCCCTCTCCCTCTCGGCCTCTCTCTTCCCGCCCCCCTACCCCCTTACTCTCTTTCTCTCTGGGGATTTTATGGGGATTGTACCCAAGGCTTTGCTCAGGCTACAAAAGCACTCTATCACTGAGCTAATAATTCCCAGCCCACTTTTTAACATTTTTTATTTGAATACAGGTCTTGCTTAGTTCCTCCGGCTGACCTTGAACTTGCAATCATTCTGTCTTGTCTCCTGAATCACTGGGATTATTGTGGGAATCAGGCAAGAAATGGCAAATGGCACTCTAAAAGAGTGGAGAGCTCAAACTTTATTTTAAACCAGCAGGCCCAGAGGAGATCAAACTCCAAATTCTCAGCATGCATTACCAGTTTGTCACAACATTTATAGGCTATGTAGTGTCATAAATTTTCTAGTTCAAACAATACGTAGTTGTGTACAAGATTTTAAGCTTGTTTACAAAGCAGAGAATGATAAGGGGAAGAACTGGCTCCTTTTATGAGGCCTTGGGCCCAGTGCCTCCACTGGTACAGGGACTTTTACACTTCAAAGGAAAGTAGTTATATTCTAGCAGAAGTCATTTATAATCCAAAAAGTAGGAGGGCATGGTGCTAATCAAGTTTCCAGAAGAGGAGCTGACTAGAAAGGGGAGAACTCTCCCTTTCCCAGGCACTAATTCTCAGGACAGTGTTCTTGGTTTTATTTTGCATCCAGGCTTGGGTTATTACAGGATCAAGTGTGCACCACACTGGGAAAACAGTTTTCCCTTTCTAAGTTGTGCCAGCAGGCATTTGTTAAGCTTTACTGTGTGTTTAATTCTTTCTGAGTATTGTGAAAAATAACAAGAGAAATAGGTTCTTCTAAAGAAACTTGTCATTTTTGAGAGAACTGTACATGAACCTGTACATCTCAAATACATGAAACTAGAAAATTATATAAAAGAATGTATAATCTAGTAGTAAATTGTTTGGTGCTTATCACAAGAGCACTGTCACTCAGAGCACTGAGATTGCTTAGATGGGAAAAACTTTCTGGGAAAGATATTTTGCAGTAAGTTTTTTAAGAAAGACGAAATTTGGAGTGATAGGGGACATAGTGAGCCTTTCAATCAAGGGAAAGCAAGACCAGATATATAGGAGGCTGTTTCCCTTTGTAAACATGTCAATTTGGGTGGGAGAAAGCTGAAGAGAGGGAGAATTAGGTTTTGGAGAGTACTTAGTCTGTGTCAGGTCCTGTACCAGATGAGTTATTGACCTTCTCTTTCTTATCTTTGTGACAACCCTAAGACATAGGTATTTTCACTCCCATTTTGCAGATGAGGAAACTAAGGCTTACACTGACAAAGTAATACACAAGTAAGCGGCATGAACATAATTTAAACCTGGATTAGTGAAACTCTAAAGATAAAGATCTCTGTTCTATTGCATTAAATTGAGTAGAGATACACTTGGTGAAGGGAAAGCAAGGAACCACAGATGGGTAAGTAAGAAATAAAAGACGGAGACCAGGCAGAGATACACACAAGAGTTTATTTGTCAGAGCTGACAAATAAAGGCATCTTCTCTATAGGAAAGAGAGAGGCAAACAGGCTTGAGTTCTGGGGACTTTTATGGGGGAAGCTCAGGAATCAGAGGAGTTTGGTTAGTGTAAAGGAGTGGTGAGCCTTTCTCAGAAACGCCCTTGGGTGGAAAAGTGAAACTTTTTCCTTAAAATGGTGGCTTTCACTTAAGATGGCCTTCCAGATGCTAAGCAAGGACTACTTGGAAATGGAAAGATAAATACAGATACATAATATAGTCCCACTTGTTGGATTAGTCTGAAAAAGTGGATTTGTTTTTAATTCTAAGAATGATAGAAAGTATTTGCACTATTCATACCTGAAGTATATTTAGAAGACTCTGGGAGTTTAAGAAAGGCAATTAAAATTGAAAGTCAAAATCTCCTTTTTTCTTCTAGCCTCCATATTTCCTTTTTCAGGGGCTACTTATTTCTTGTGCCCTTTTAAGAAATGGTCTATGCCTATTTATTTGTATGAGTGTTTGTGTACATTCTTTTTTTTCCACAAAGTTGTTCCTGGATAAAGACTATATCACACCTATGATGCGTAGGACAGTTTTTTTTTGTTTTGGTACTGAGGATTGAACTCAGGGGCACTCGACCACTGAGCCTTCCAGATGCTAAGCAAGGACCTTATACTTGGAAATGGAAAGATAAATGCAGATACCTAATATAGTCCCACTTTTTGGAGGACTATGTTTTGTATTTTTTTAGAGACAAGATCTCACTGGGTCGAGTAGTGCCTCATTTTTGCTGAGGCTGGCTTTGAACTTGCAATCCTCCTGCCTCAGCCTCTCAAGCCACTGTGATTACAGGCAAGAGCCACCAAGCCCAGCTAGGCCAGGGTGTTTTTTTGTTTGTTTGTTTTGTTTTTTTGTCTTTGACAAAATGCTAGGAGAGTAAAATGAAGCAAGATAGGCAATACCTGAGTGTTTAAAATTTGAGGCTGATATGAATGTTTTAACTTATGTGATTTTTCATTTATAGGCATTATCTCAAGCTTTTCAGAGTAAAATAAAATTTGAGATAAATGAATTTGTTTTAATTTTAGAATGGCTCAACCTTCCATTCCACTTTCAGCTCTATCATTTTTCATATTTATATCTTTAGGTTTCAACCTGGACATCGCAGTATCAAGCTGCAGCTCATCAGGACATCCCTGCCATGAAACAGCTGTCTGAGTGGCTAATGAAAAACCTGCCAGATAATGACAATGAGAGCAATTTGATTCATGGAGATTTCAAGCTAGATAACATCATTTTCCACCCTAAGGAGGTATTGTAAGCCATATTTATAATAACTAAAGTAGGTCTCAATTGAAAAGCAAGTAGATGCCCCCTGGACACCCCCATGGAGCCCTGCTTTCCCCTCCTTCCCTACAACTCAGGATGTATACACACTTAAAACTTGAAAAAATTATTTCTAGCACAGGTAGATGCCTACCTTTAAGGCTGGTTCTAATCTTAAATGGTATCTAATTTACTACTTAAAACGGACTTAGAATTTTTATATGTACATCACTGTTTCCAAAGACATTTTTCATTTATTATTTAAAATATTTGGCTCATCCATGTTCTTGCTCTTTCTTCTGGTTCATTACATTTCTTTGGATTCTTTTTTCCTATGCTATTAAGAATTTTTAATTTGTTTATTATAAGTTCAGAGAAGGCAGAATTCCAGAAGCCTCTTTTGAGGCCTCAGAGAATTGCATGAGATTAATGTAACCTTGCCCTGTGTAAATGTACACAGTGTACTCTTTGTAAAGGGTGCAGACAAATCAAAGATTTACAGTTCCCCAATCCTGCTTCTTATTTTCTGGGTCCATTAATTTTCTCACAATGCTAAATTTTTTTTAAAACAGGAAAAACTGCTGTAAACTTATATGCTACACTTTTGGGTTTTATATTCCTTCCTTACAAAAAGAGTACAGGGAAAAAAATACATAAGTTGCATTGCATAGTTTTCATTATTCAAAGTATCCTTATAAGGATATGTGAGCATATTTACCACAGGACAGGAAATTTTTCATAGGAAAGTTAGTCCGGATATTAGAATTATGTATATATAATTATATACAGATGCTTCTCAATTTGTAATGGGATTAGATTCTGATAAACTAATTGTAATTTGAAAATATCAAAAATTGAATATGTGTTTAACATGCCTAACCTACTGAATGTCATGACCTACCTACACAGTATGCTCGGAAGTATTGGTTGTTTACCTTTATGATGACATGGCTGATGGAGAGCTGTGGTTCACTGCCACTGTCTAGAACCATAAAAGGGTACTATCCTTCACATCGCTAGCCCAGGAAAAGATCGAAATTCATATGGTCATTGCACCATTTCATAAAGACAGAAAATTCTAAGTCTAACAATCATAAGTAGGGGACCGCTTCAAGTGTGTGTGCATAAACTTTTGTTTAATAGCATTGATGAATTCCAGATTCTAAGTTATCTATATTAAGATTAGGAAAATTAAATAGTGCCAATTTATAACCTGGAAAATTACAAAATCTTACTCGTTAAAACATCAGGATCTGCCTTGTCTTGTCAATATTACTTGATTCATTAATATCTTGGAGCTTATCTTTGACTACTCTTAATAGAGCCCTTAATATGTTATGTAACTATAGTTGTTTTCTATTCTGTACTTAAGAAAGGAAAAATACAAACCTAGGTCTCCCAAAAGATTATATGTTCTTTACTAAGATATTTAAAGGTTAATTTTAATATGCTGAACATAATGGTAAACCATTATAAATATCCAATTGTTTTTCCCTTTTATATTTAATCTCACATTTTAAATCCATCTTTTATGGGATTAAAGTAGCTGAACAGGTATCATCTATTTTCAGATAAGCAAGGTATCCAATTGCTGGGAGAGACATTTCTTCTTAAAAGGAAACAACCAATAAAGACATAGATTTTAGTTATTTAGCTGCAATTCTAATTTGTTAATATATATATCATCACCTTTTAATTTTTTAGTAGTTAGGAAAATATCTTCTACTTTATACTCAGCAATCTCAGAATTACTAGTTAAGTCAAACTTAAACAGCTTCTGCCTCCAATAACTATTGTAGCTAACTCTTCATGGATGTAATCCATGAATCCAAGTCAATTAGCATTTATTCATTACTAACTGTGTGCTCTGAAACATGGGATGGAAAGGAAATGTATCTCCTAATGAGCTCAAAATAGAGATGTAGAGAAAAGATACCCAGGAATTAGCAAAAGAACAATATATACCTATGTGCCTACACATCACACAAGGCAAACTATGAGAATAATTGAAGAAGAAAAGATACTCACTATGGACTAACACTAAGAGCTTTAAAAATTTAAAATGTCATTTCAGTTAATAGTTTATCTTTCTCCTTCTTTTTAAAATTTTCACAGTAGAGAATTAGACTTTTTATTCCCCATAAGATCACAAATTGCAAAATCATCCTCTGGATTACATGACAGATATGTATATGCATGTGCTCCCCTATATATATGTACAGAAATATGATAGAAAGCTTTTTTTTTCTATTCAGGTTAAGGATTATGTCTTTATTTTTTTCTTATCTTTGTCTCTGGAATCTACATAATAGATGAAGAGAGAGTGAGTGAGTGAGAGAGAGAGAGAATATGAATATACCTACAGGTCTTTTTATATTTATAGATCAGGTGCTCACATGATTCTGAATGAATCTATGTTGAAAGAATTGGTTTTTGCTGAGAGCCACAAACAGGTCAAGATGGCGCCTGGCAGTATGCTAGGAGGAGTGGTTTGAGAAGTAACGACAGTGAGCCATTAAGATGATGTTAATTAAGTTAAGCTGTGTGTAATTATTAAGATGAGGTAATGCCAGTGAGCCATTAAGATGATAGAGATTCCTTATTGGGTAATTGCTGTATCTACATGGTAACTGAGTTAAGCTGTGTATAATTGTTAAGATGATGAGGATTGCTGTATCTGGATGATGTTAATTGAAACAAGCTGTGTATAATCAGTTAAGGGTATATATACCTCTACTCTCCTACAATAAAGCGGCTCCTGCTATATCAACCTTCACAGGTTGCTTGTCACCACCCCCACCCCCCCCCCCCCCCCCCCCACCCCCCCCCCGCTATTTTGCCCAGCCAGCCGGGCTGTGGCAGGTTTTGCTTGTAGTGAAATGTACAGAGATAATGAAACTTATTACATACTTGCCGCAGTTTGGCTGGGCACCAAATAACTGAGCCACCACAAAGCCTTGTAGGTTCAAACAGCAACTCTTTATTCCCGAACTCTCACCGGCACTCTACACACACTTCCCGGGAACACACTCCCTCCACTAGGCTCTGCCTGACAATTCTCACTGAACCCCCACTGAGAACTCAACGGGAACTCCAAAGTAGCAGGCGCCCTGAGGCAGCAGGATCCGCCCTAATCCCAGAGCCACCCTATTCCCGAAGCAGGGTCACCTTTCAACCATTCCCTCTAGCAAAATGCCAGGCATCATTCCGACTAAACTGTGGCTCTCAACATCTCCCCCCTTCTGTTTAATTAAACAACAAGCATGTGGCTTAGGGACTGTGCCTGTCTTAGGTTGTCCAATACTACATATGGTCCTTACCCGTCATCGGATGAGCTGACCTCAAGGCTTCAGCCTCCTGTCTTAGGTTGGTACCATTGTAATTGGATCTTACCCGTCATTGGCTACTGGTCCAGCATACAGCCATACTTGTGGATAGGCCTTTGCACCATTGGGGTGGGTGAGGTTCTTTGCCTCACCTCTGTTGGCCCCCAAATTTGGCCTTGGTGCCAATGGGGGGGTGAGTTTCTTTGCCTTACCTCTGTTGCCCCCCAAATTTTAGACCATCACAAGCAGAAGGGAGGAGGATGCAAAATGCCACGGCACCAAGCCAAATGAGGGCTCTTTTTGAAAAAATTGTACCACCAATGACACCATCAGTAAAGATACCCCAGCACTACCACAATTCGCTGTACCAACAGATACTTCACAATGCATGCAAGTGATACATAGTCCAGGCAAGTTCTGCAAACAGTTCAAAGCAGAGGAATCTATTAATATGTCCATTTCCTCCCAAAGTAAATCGACTCCTTGATTGAGCATCACTTGCTGAGTTATTATTCATTGATGCATCAGTTTATACAGTTTGTTGTGATAGCTATCACAGAAGCTGTAGTTTGGTTTTATCTTTGTCTTCACCGGCACTGGGATGAAGATAGGAATTCTGGCAATGATGGCTAAGAAAAATTATGTAACATTCCAGCAGGAACTAAAAGAAAGCAATTTCCTAAACAATTTACATAATTATGTAACATTCCAGCAGGCACTAAAAGAAAGCAATTTTCTAAACAATTTACATTATCCTGAACAGAATTATTAAATATAATGAAAAGGAAAGGTAAAAGTAAACAAACAGATCTGTTAACCTCCTTTTTTGTTCACATATTAAAACAATCCTCAACAGCTGTTTACCCAATTTAAATTAAACCATTTAAATCACATGAATAAAAAAAAATATTTGGATCCATTTTTTCATGAGCGCTCCTCATATATGATATATGGACATACGCACATACATTCATACAACACAAAACAGAAGTGTGCACACATAACACAATACATACAACACATAACATAATAGTAAAGGCCTTGTAGCTTTTCACAGGTGAAATCTCCATTGCAATGTTTAAAAACTCCACAGTCAAAAAAATAGAACTGATCAGAAAAACATTAACCTAGGTCTGTATGAGCTCAAAAAATAAAATAAAACTTCATGATGTGGGAAAAGGCAATAATAAAATAGATATTGAAAAAGGCATCCTGGTTACCACCTGGGTTTGACTCTTCTTATGATATCCCATCCTTCTTCCTGTAACTTGCATATGAGTCTGAAGGTATTCCCACAAGTAAGCCCCAAGGTTTCTTACATTTGAAATAGGCCTTAATGGTGTTCATTATTCATTAGCCTCCAGGTGTGGGAGAATCACTGTCGCAGATGTAAGGATATCAGCTGTTATGGATTTGAGCCAAGTCATCTTCTTTTTGGTCTGTAGAAATCGCTTTAGTTAATCTCTCTGGAATCCAAATCATTTTAATACAGTTAAAATTACTTATAAATTACTAGGTAGAATAGTAACATGAAATGATCCTCTTGTAATACAATATAATCACAACAATAAAAATATTATGAAATCTAGTAGTCATGGAGAAGGGAATAATCAATGTTTCCTATAGTAATAACTACAAATTTTTGATTGCCTGCCATATGTCAGACTATGTACTTATTCATTGAATAAATACATCTAGCCCACCTACTGAGTGCCAGGTACATATGTACTTTGTTAGGAACTGGGAAACAGAACAGATATGCTACCTGCCCTTATCTAGTGCCTCTTTATACTAACCTCATGTAAGAGGTAGATTTTATAGCTGAGAGAAAACTGAGGTCTGAAAGGTTAACTTGACCAGTTAGTGAATGATGGAACTAGGATTTGAAAATAGATCTGATGCAAAGCCCACAGTTTCCCCCAGAGCCACTGAGAAGTGAGAGGGTGCAAGCGTGCACTGTTATACAGAGCCGTGAAGCCTAGTAGCTCACATTGCCCAGACGTTGCTATGCCTCCCTGTACCTCTTCCCTCCTGCCTCAGTCCCTTGCAATCAGTTGGTGCATATCATTTCAACTTGGAGTATTCATTGTAACTTTTTTCTTTAAACAAAAATAGAACCATATTACACATATTAATCTATAAGTTGCTTTTTTCCCTTGTATTTACATTGTTCTGTGTTCTTAAAAGACATTTTCCCTTCATACATGTTACATAATAGAATAAAAAACCTTTCTGTTCTATAGGCTCCAAATTACATAATGATCTTTTTATTATGTTATTGTATAATAGTAGATTTTGTATTCATAAAAAGCATCTTTTATAGAAATTGTGGTTTTATATCTACAACATGAAATGATCCTTTGTAAAAAGTATTATTGCCATACTGGTGTAAGATTTGTTATGTAGCTAGATTTAATCACCAGAGCTAATGCTTAATTATACATGATTTCTTGAAATACAATTAACTATTGGAATTTCTTCTTTATCACAACTACTCCTGGTTGAGAAGTTTCATCTGCTTTTGTGTTGCTTATTAGTAAAATAAGTAAAGTAAAATGCAGAAGGACTGAAGGCCAGTAATGAAACCAGAGGACTTGGCTCTACCTAATGAAGGCTAATTCATTTCATTACTTCATAAATGGGATAGATGTGCCACTGGGGGTAAAAACTGGCAAACTATAGCTCTATATTGGCTTTTGATGGAAAACATGATTTTAAGTATATTCTATTTCATCTATTTTCTTATTTTCATTGATTTGAATTTTAATATGTTAAAAGACCTTTTTTTAAATTTTTTAATTACAGACTCGAGTTTTGGCAGTTTTGGATTGGGAACTTTCAACCACTGGTCATCCTCTGTCAGATTTAGCTTATCTTTCTCTGTTCTACTTTTGGCCAAGGACCATTCCAATGCTGCATCAAAGTTCTCAAATTCAAGAAAGCATAGGTACAAAACATAATGTTGTCTAAGTTGCTATTAACATAGAATTATCTTTATTATTTTCACAACTAATTATATTGTAATTTTAGTTTTTGTTTCTTCCAAATGTTTCTCATTAATTTTATTTATCAATTTTTATAAATATGGTATTTTATGTTAGTAGTTTGTGATAAAATATAATCCTTTGTATATAATGTTCTTTTGAGAATCAATATTTAGAGCATGTTTGATGTGTGGATTAATGGTTATTATATTATTTTACATGTATATGTCATATTGTAACATTTTGAAATATTTACCCTCTCTTTTTATTTAAGTTTATATTGTGTACTATTTGTACAGGAATACCATCAATGGAAGAACTGGTTTCAGTATATTGCCGCTACAGGGGAATTAATCCTATTCTTCCTAACTGGAATTTCTTTCTTGCATTTTCATATTTTAAACTGGCTGGAATAGCACAGGTAATTATTTGTTTTGAATATGTTTCGACATTATTTACTAATGTACTGTTAACAGTATTTTTTGGTCTTCAGGATTTGATATTTTTTAATCCTTAGACTATCTTGCTTTTCTTAAAGACCAGCTATCAGTTATGGAGAAAATGTAAATCTACAGAATAGGACCTTTAGTAAGGGAAATTTTGAGTAGAAAAATGTTTTGCCACTTTTTTGTATAATAAACATAGGAGAAGGAGGGTGAGAGAGAGAAAGACATAATGACAGCAAAAAGTAGGTGGAAACTGGCCATTTCCTGAATATCCAATGTGAAAACAAGCTACACTCTTTTGAGCCTCCCTGCTTCAGACTAAAAAGTCATTAGCTAACCAGAACTGATGACAAGGGAAGAATCCCAGTACCTTATATATGGTAGCTGCTTATTATGTTTTTGAGTGAATAAATGACAAAAATTTTGCATTTTCTAACAGTCATATTTAATGTAATAAATTTTGAGAGGATATTGAGCATAAATTCAGGTTTTCTCCAATTTTAACATAAACAAATGCCTTCTTTTTTCTTATCCAGTTTCCAGCTACCTTGAATTTTAAGGGTTTTAAGAAATTGAGATGCTTCATCAAAAGTAGGATTTAGAAAAAGAACAGTAAATAAGAGATTTCAGAAATTTTTTAAATGAGAAAAGAAGGAATAAAGAAAATTACATTTAATTTTCTTTGTCCTCAGAATTTATGCTATACATGAACAACTGAAATCTCCTCCAGGAAATAGTATATTACGTCTCATCCTATATTCTAACAGCTGATCATGTTGAATGAATGGATTTCTTGAAATGTGTTCAGTATCTGTCAGTTTCTATAAATCAGATACCAAATAGACTTTAAATTTAAAATGATTTTCATTTCAAATAAAAATTTGACATGAGTTATGATTGAAATTAAAATATTCATTGTAAACTACATAGTAATAGCCTTAGAAGTGATCACAAACTTTCCATTCTAACTGGAAATGTAAAATTGGAAAGATAGAAAAATCATTACATTGTTTATTGCATAAAGAATTACATAAAGAAAATAGTAATGAAATCCAGTCACTTGTATTTAGAGGGATGGAAAGGGGTGTTTATTATATTGGAAGTACAGAAATGGAGAATTATTTTTTAAAACTGATTAATATTCAACTAACACAGTTCAAAGGAAGCTGTAATAGTAAATTACTGTAATAGTAAATAGTAAATTACTAAATTAAGGGTCCACAAATGAGATTAAATATTAGAGGTCATCTCATTGCCTTCTCTTTGCCTTTACAGATTTTGATTTCTTTAGATTTACCCTCACTGTGAAGAGAAGGTAGTGATTGTTAGAGATGTTAATTGCAGGTTTGATGTCTTTGGTAATTGCTAGGATCCTTTTCAAGTTTGTTTTGATTATCAGTTACAATTTCCCCTGGATGAGAGTGTTTTAACTACATGATACCAGTATGACCTTTTAATTTAGTGGAGTATAATTATTACTCCTACATGTGAATTTACGGCATTGGTAGACTAATTTACATCTTTGTATTTTGAATTTAATTCCCCATATAGCTGAGAAACTTTGGAAAGACTGATTGGATAGCTGAAGGACAGTTTTCAATAAATTTTAATTGCCCTATGTTAATTTATTTATAGGGAGTATATAGTAGATATCTTTTGGGAAATAATTCATCTGAGGATAGCTTTCTGTTTGCCAATATTGTGCAACCTCTGGCAGAAACTGGATTACAACTCTCAAAAAGGTAAGGAAAACAGAGTCCTTCAGTAACTCAAATTAGAGCCTTAATTAGGTCTGTTTGATTAAGTTCACAGAGAGTAGGGAGGAAAAACAGTCTATTCATTCATTAAGAAGTAATTAGGTATGTGAAGGTTATGAACTTAATGAGATAGGCATTATTTTTGTTGATGGTGCCAGGATTTCTGTTGCTAGTTATGATAGTATTTTGGTGAAATCTCTTATATGCATAAAAATAAATTGACCCAAAATGAAAAGAAAATTCCCATATTTATGACTTAAAAATTACCATATTTTTATCAATTTGAATGTATAACCTTTTAAAGATATAGGTACAACTCAAATGTTTCCTTCTAATATTTGACTAATAGTTCCTTCTAATATTTTAATTATACCTCTTTAAAATTATGTAGTATATAAGCTTATTTATTACTTTCTCCCACAGTATTTTGTTCATACACTTCATTAGTGTATTTTTTTATTAGCTACACATGACATTACAATGATCTTGGCAATTCATACATTTGAATCAATTGGGGTATAATTTCTCATTTTTCTGATTGTACAGATTGCAGAATCACATTGGTCATACAGTCCCCTATATACATACAGCAATCATAATGTCTATTCTATTCTGCTGCCCTTCCTATCCCCCTCCCCCTCCCATCACTTCTCTCTATCCAATCTAATATGACACACTTTTTTTTCTTTTTCTCCTCACAACATCATACATGTATTCTGTATAACAATGAGGGTCTCCTTCCATCTTCCGTACAACTCCCCTTCATAAGTGTATTTGAAATCCATGTCTCCATCATTAGAGTGCTTTTTGAGGCATCTAACACCCTGTTCTAGTTTTACTCCTGTTACTGAATATGTGTATAATGTTGTCCCTGGAAATTTTTGCCTAAGCCACAAGTACCTGCAGAATAGCATTACAATAGTTGGTTTTCCACATTTCATCATATAGATGGATACTTGTGATCTGAAACAACATGATAACCAACTGTTGTTCTTTGTGTTTACCTTTAAAGGTCTACTTTAGAATAACCTTGAAGTCATACTTGTGTTTCTTTTAGTATAAGTATTAAATTTGTGTTCAGTTTCCTTCTTTTTAGTGACTTTGACAGATGACTTCAACAAAGATTCAAAACTAGCATTGATTGAGGTCATGCTAGGCTTATATTTTTTCCCAAATAGTGCTTTAAGCATTAAAGTTTAATGTTCAAGATAAAGTGATTCTATATTTACTCCATAATACGAAAGACAACAAAAATTAAAATATGGCAACTCTCTTTGAGGGATATTCGGGGGAGCTGGAAGGCAGACTTCACATTATCTTCAGAAATAGATAATTTTGATTTTGAACATATTGATAACTTTTTTTTTCTTTTCTTTTCTGGTCAAGAACTTTCAGTAATGTGTTGCCACAGGTTGATACTACAGGACAGTTGTTCCTACAGACTAAGAAAGGCCAGGAAGTTCTTATGGAGGTGAAGCATTTCATGAAAAAACACATTCTTCCGGCTGAAAAGGTATTTTATAAACAATGTTATGTGCTAAAAGACTATTGAATACTTGTGTTATTTCTGCTTGTAGGAGAACCATGGTGTTATTTTATTTTGCAGTCAATTCTTACCCAGATTCCCCTCCTCGTCTTACACAGAACCTAAGAAATTCCAAGCTTCTAAAATATGACAGTGGGAGAAGCAGGGTATGGTAGTGCATGTCTGTAATCCCAGGGACTCTATTGTTTGAGGCAGGAGCACGGCAAGTTCAAGGCCAGCCTGGGCAATTTAGCAGACCCTGTTCAAAATAAAATAAAAAGGACCAGAGTGTGGCTCAATGGTAGAGACCCTCTAGGTTCAGTTCCCAGTATATCTCACACTCACTGTCTCACAAACACACATGCCAGAGGGCTATACAGGTAAGTCTGTAGAATAGAAAGTAAGTCACACGGAATTAACAGTTGGGAGCCTAAATATGTTGGAGTAAAACTCTCCTTTGGGTACCTTTTCCTACAGCAGTAACATTCAGCTTTAAAAAAAAAAAAAAAATGACTCTCTTTAAGAATTTAATGAGAACTGCAGACTTCACAAGAGGGTAATGCCCAGAAAATTTCACCTATCATTTCAAGCTTTTCACAGGTATTACCCGGTCTCTCCCCCGATATGCTACTCTGTGAAGATGTTAAGTTACACTAAGTTCATGGAGAGTAAATAGGGAGGCGGTATGATGCATTCACTCATTCAGTTAACAAATAATGATTGGGTACATAACAACAAGTTATAAAGAACAAGATAGGGCTTATGCTCCTATGGCACTTAAATACTTTTGCAAGAAAGACAGACATTAAATAAGAGTTGACAAGAGCTGTGAAAAAAGATAAAACCTCTTATGAAATTATGGAAGGAGATGGGGATGTGTGTGGGTAGAACCCTCGTGTAGGAATGTAAGTGCTTGATTCTAATCCCTCCCTTCCACGGTTAGGTGGTGTGCTGTTAGTTGGTCTTGTGTGGCCTCAGTTTCCTCATCTACAGTGTGAATAGGTCTTACCAGATATATAGTAAATTCCTATTCTACTTGCCTGTGATTCTGAGAGGTCTAGAGCTAGACTGGCAAATCAAATAGGGACAAAAAAGACCAACATTCTTTCAACAAAAATGTTCAGAGCTGGTATGTGTTTGTAGGGCAGTCAGTAGTGCTGTTTGAATTATATAAATTTCATATTTTAAAGTAAATATCTAGCTTGAGATGAACATTTCTCATAGAGTGAGATATAGTTTATTTAAAAATACTTAAATATGAGGAAATTTCTTTCTAAAAATAGTCATTTCTCATGTCCAGAGATTAAGATTATCACTGAATATATTCTGCTTTAGTTAGTATTTGTTCAATTATGAGTTTTTTTTAAGAGAGAGAGAGAGAGAGAATTTTTTAATATTTATTTTTTAGTTTTCGGCAGACACAACATTTTTGTTTGTATGTGTGCTGAGGATTGAACCCGGGCCGCACGCATGCCAGGCGAGCGCGCTACCGCTTGAGCCACATCCCCAGCCCCAATTATGAGTTTTAAAGTTCTGAACTTTTGGTTTTTAAAAAGAAAATACAACACTTTTCTTTTCAGATGGTGGTCTGCATTTAACATTTTCTTCCCTTCCCGTAATCAGAAGACTATTGAATTAACAATAATAAGAAGTTTTTGGAAGCCATACACAGTGGTACATACCTGTAATCCCAGCAGTTTTGGAGGCTGAGGCAGAATGTTGGCAAGTTTGAGGCCAACCTCAGCAACTAGACTTTAAACTACTGAGACCCTCTCAAAATAAAAAATAAGAAGGGCTGGGGATGTAGCTCAGTGGTAAAGTGCCCCTGGATTTAATCCCTAGAATCAAAAAACTTTTTTTTCCTAGAAAATGGAATATATTGATAAAAGCATGAAAGCAGGATGCCTAAAGGTTTTGAAGAGAATGAACATTAGATTTGGAAAACAGAGTAGATCATAGCCAAGAAGAAATCATTACAGTATGAGCCACATCTCAAAAGAATTTGGAAATAAGAGCTGGTTATAGCACAGGTGGTAACCATTTATCCGAAATGGAGTTCTCTGTGAATGGCTAAGAAGGAGAGCAAGAATGCCAAGGGGAAGAGAAAGAGCGATGATTGATTGAAGAAATTAGCAGATGGGTTGCTTGGGTTGGTCTATCATAACCCTGCATAGCAGTGGTATTTGCCCCAAACAGCAGACTGCAATAGTATTCTTTTTAAAAAAACAAAAAAGTAACCATGGGCTTCAAAGAAGTCAGGTTTTTAACTGAGGATTAGTGGATTAAGCAGGGCCCTCCATGTACTGTTTTTCTGTTTTGCTTTTGTTGCTTTTAGTGGGGGCGGGTAGGGCTTGAATAGAGATTCTAGTGTGCCTGTCAGCCTCCCTCATTCCTATCTGCTCACCCTAAAATGCAGTCTGTGAGTTGTCTCTTTCACTTATAAATGTGAATAGGCATTCAGTGGACACTGCAGCACTGAAGAGTCAGTGATACTCCACTGACATTATTATCATGCAGCAGTTAAAATATTGCAAAGAATCTGCAATAAAATAAAATGTTGTATAAGTTCTTTAAAAAGGCAGCCTTTATCTTTTTTTTTGAGAGAGAGAGAGAGAGAGAGAGAGAGAGAGAATTTTTTAGTATTTATTTTTCAGTTTTCAATGGACACAACATCTTTATTTTTATGTGGTGCTGATGATCGAACCCAGCGCCCCGCGCATGCCAGGCAAGCGCGGTACCGCTTGAGCCACATCCCCAGCCCCTAGCCTGTATCTTTAAGGAGAAGATTTTCCGTGTTTTATGTGACAAGGAAACCCACAGTCATTTTGTCTTTACAAATCTTTGAAATCTGGAATGTGCCATAACTGACAATGTGCACTTTTTCTTCTTTTAAAAACTTGTACCAACATCTGTAAAAATGTTTTATTGGGTAGAATGATTCTCAATGATGCCAATCCCTGATGGTGAGACATACACATTTGAAATTATATTGGAGAAAAATAAATAGCTTTTTCAAAATGGAAGGGGAGAAATCCTATATAAAATATATCCAGTAGTATATAACTGAGTTTTACAAAACCCAAAACAGTCACATTTATAAGTTAAGTTTGTGTCATAAAACAGCAACATTTTAGCATTACCTTTAGCTACTAAGACTCTCAATGACTTTATATTTTTACATAGTTTTCAAGTTTTTATGATATGAAAAAATAAGCTTCACAAAACTATGGCAATGACCTTTTGATATTCTTTGAATAGCATAAACTGAGAACATAATCCATTATCTGTGAAAATAGTAAAAGTCAGTTCTTCCCATTTAAAATTGATAAAGAATCCTAAAAACAGCATGTAAAACATAAACCATGGAACTGTTGATTCTTTCTAGTAGACTTAAGTTTAAAGTAAAAATCATATACTGTGAAATTATTTGTATGCTCAGATTTAAGATTCTAAACTAATATATTCCTCAGTTAGTAGATGAAGAAGTACCAAATTAAGGTTGATATTTCGAGAATATTAACCAGGCTCAAAATATATTTTTTGCTTTTATCTTTTACCAACAGTTTGGTTTTTTTTTTTTTTTTTTTTTTTCCTTTTGAGCTGGAGTCTTGCTTTATTGTCATGCTGGCCTCAAACTTTGAGGTCAAGCTATCCTCTTGTCTTAGCCTCTCAAGTAGCTGGGGCTACAGAGGTATATTACACAGGTATATTACAGCACCTGGCTTATTAAATTATTTTTCATACTTTAAGAACTGAGAAGGACTTTTTTTTGTAATGAGGTGTTGCGACACACAACTAAGTCATGGTCACTGCAGAAGAACTAGGCTGGCACTATTTAAAGACACCCAGACAGAAAAATATCTTTCTTTGGTTTCTATGACTCCTCTGACCCAGTTCCCACAAAAGGAGGCAAAGCAGGCAAGAAAGAGAGGAAGCACGCCTTGAACCCGAGTTTTATTAATGAGGGGACTAATCCATGGAACATTCTATCCAAAAAAGGGCAGAAGGGTAGAATTACAACAAACAAGTGGGTGTAATTCAGCCCCATCAGGTGACACCCACTTCCAGAGCTGCACCTTTCTTATCCAAGCTGAGGTAAAGTCCACTTTCATTGCAGGGTGCAATACCAGTCCAATACCTCTTTACTCAGGACTTAAAGATGTGTGTATAGCTCCTGTTCAGGGCAGCCCCCTGACAATGAGGTATTTTATTTAATTCTGAATCACAAATAGATTTTGCAGTTCCCTAAATGACTTTAGAATATAAAGTATTAAATAATGCAAGTAAACACTGGCATAATTTAATTCTTTAGAACTTTAGTATTGCTGTGATTTAATTTCTTAGAACTTTAGTATTATAGAGAGGTAGTCAGAAATAAGGAAATTATAATATGTTTATTACCAAACACAATAGCACTGACTATTTCTGTAGCAACATGAGGAATAGAAAAAATAAACAACCTTAAACAGGAAATTTTCCAATTTAACTGATTTCCTGACAGAAATGACAACAGCTATTTATCCTCATACCTTTGAAAGGACAGATCTTTGCCTTGTTGAAGTTATCACCAAATAAAGTAGGACTCCAAGGTAGCCATCCTTCAATGAAAAGAACATTTCAATACATTGCTTATATGAGTGTCTTTTGGTCTGAACAATTTTGAAAATAATTTTATAATAAGGATAAAGAGTTTTGACAATGTTTATAGCCTTTAACCCAGTTAATTCTACTAGCCTGGGAAGTATGAGCTTGTTTTGTTGAATTATTGTTTTTGCTAGTTCTTGTTTATGGTGGCTTGTTTGCTTGAGTGATTAGTAATTTTTCATGGTATGCTCATGTTCCTTGGAATGTAATTTTATCTGTGGAAAAAAATAAAAACAGGTAGAGATACAATAATAGCAGTACATTGGAGAATGCTTATATAGTCCAATATTTTCGTTATGTTTTAACTTCTTTTAGTTGCACACACTAGAAGTTATTACTGTTTTATTTTACTAGGTTTATATTTAGATTTACTCACATATTTGTTACTTTATTGATTTATTATTATTTCTTGCAACTCAAGTGTTTCTTCTAGAATCAAGTTTGTTAGGGAGAATCTGCTTGCTAAACTCTTGTTTGTCTTTCCCTATTTTTTGAGGGGTGGGGGATGCTGAGTGGGTAATGACTTTTTTATTGGTAATACCTTTATTTTGCCCTAATACTTGAAAGGTAGTTTTATTTTTTATATAGAATTATAGGTCGATAGTTATTTTCACTCAGCAATTGAAGATATTTTCCCACTGATTTTTGGCTTCATGTGTTACTATGGATATCATCTTTCAATTTTAATTTTTTAATTATCAATAATCTCTTTTTCCCTTTAAGAGATTTTCTTTTTCTTTGATGTTCTGTAGTTTTACTATGCTTTATCTTCATTTTATTTTCTGAATTTGAGAATTGACTTATCAGTTCTGAAAACTTCTTGGAATAATTTTTCCAAATTTCCAAAAATGTTTCCAATTTTTTTGCAGTTTAGGGAACTACAAAAAAGATGGAAACATTCTTTTCATCTAAGGCTCCAGTAAAACTTTTGTTAGAGCTGGACTTAATTGTGCACACCTATAATCCCAGCTGCTCAGGAGGCTGAGGCAGGAGGATCACAAGTTCAAAGCCAGCCTCAGCAAAAGTGAGGCACTAAGCAACTCAATGAGAGCCTGTCTCTAAATAAAATACAAAATAGAACTGAGGATGTGGCAGAATGGTCGAGTGCCCCTGAGTTCAATCCCTGGTACCAAAATAATAATAATAATAATAATAATAATAATGTTAGAACTTCTCTCTAAATCCATTATATCCCTTAACCACTCATATTTTTCTTCTCTTGAATTTCTCTTCTTCATCCTGAGTAATTTCTTCAGATCTTTCTTCCGTTTTTTTTTTTTTTTAAAGCTGTATGTAGTCTATTTTTCATCCATATAATAGCAGTTCTCGAATTTTGGAGTATGTCAGAATTGCCTGGAGACCTCTAAAGAACACAGAAGCCCAGGCTCATTGAAGTAGGTTAAGGCCTGTGCCCCTGTTTTTTCACCAAGTTCACCGAGTGATACTGATAACACCAAAGTTTGAGAATCCCTGCCACAGAGGTTTTATGTTTGGGGAAGATTTTTTTTTTTTTTACACCAGGGTTTGAACCCAGGAGTACCTAACCATTGAGCACATCCCCACACTTTTTTTTTTTTTTTTTGAGTTAGGGTCTTGCCAAGTTGCTGAGGGTCTTGCTAAGTCTGACTTTGAACTTGCAATCCTCCTGCCTCAGCCTCCTGAGCCACTTGGATTATGGATGTGCACCACACACCCAGCTCTGCCACAGAGTTCTTAAGATTAATTATTGAGGTTATGTTTTTCTCGAGTTGCATTCATTATTTTTAAATTTGCCTTGTTGATTTTGATAGTTCTTTGACAGACTTTTAATGCTTTTGCTTTTGAAGTCTATTGAATACAAATATTTTATATCATGTGCCTCACTGTTACTCTATCTGTATCTGTAGTCTTTGGGAAGTATGAGCTTGTTTTGTTGAATTATTGTTTTTGCTAGTTCTTGTTTATGGTGGCTTGTTTGCTTGAGTGATTAGTAATTTTTCATGGTATATTCATGTTCCTTGGAATGTAATTTTATCTGAGGGAATTATTTAAGGCCTTTATTTTAAAGCCCTTTCTTTCAGAGAAGATTTACTTTTGTTTCTGCCAAGTGCTCGTGGACACTGTCACCAAGAATGTTGTAAACTTATTTTTTGGTTTGAGGTTTTCTCCCTAAAACCACATAGGACTTGAATTCAGATCCCAAACTTGGTTGAAGGCAGACTAAGTTAGAAGAATCTCTTTTTTCTATTCCACTCAGAACTAAGACCTACATATGATTCTCTACTTCTATGGACTACCTCAGAGGGGTGGGATTTTATTTTTTTTAAGTACTGAAGATTAAATCCATGTGTGCTCTACCACTGAGCTATACCTGTACCCCTTTTTATTTATTTATTTTTTATCTTGAGACAGGGTCTTGCTAAATTGCTGAGGTTGGCTTCACACTTGCAGTCCTCCTGTCTCTACCTCCCAAGTTGCTGAGATTACAGGTGTGTACCACCACACCAGTCTAGGGGTGTGTGTTGTGTGGTTTTTTTAATGTATTCTTTAATGTTTGTTTTTTTAAGTTTTATCCATCAAGAACTCTGGCTTTGGTGGAGGAAAGAGGTGATCTCAGATCCTCCCTCTTGCTTTTTGTCTGGACACCTGCCTATGTGGCCCATTAACACCCAAGGCCTAAGCGAGCATAGATCAGCCTCTATGGCCCAGACAAACTTGGCTCTAGGACTCTCTCACATCTTAAAAATCAGGCCTGTTTTTTCTTGGCCCTGAGGGATTTCTTATTTTCCTTCCAGCACATCCTTGCATTACTAAATGTATTTCAAAATTGTTTTTAATATTTTACCTAACCTTTTTAGTTGAGGGATTTCTATGCCCATCTAGCGTATTGCTGGAAATGAAACACTCAAATCTTGGTTATTAGATTTTTACTATCTAATATTGAGGCAGAATAATTTTGTGAGCAGCAAACCTTTAGAATTTTTGTTATTCTGTTTCTGGTTTTAAAAAGATTACTGATTTAATAGAAGCTGAAAAAGTTTCTTCACTCAAAAATGTTTACTTTTGATATTATCCACTTGTGACATTATCTACTTTGGTTAACTTAAGCCAATTTTTTTTTTTATTACCTTAAGGAGGTATTTGAATACTATGTTCAAAATGAAAATTCCATAGAGAAGTGGAAACAACCTTTAGTGATTGATAAACTCAAGGTAAGAAAATGAGAGAATCTTTAATACTAGAAAATGCAAATGCAAGTGTTTTTGGAGATCTTAGTTTTTGTTGTTATTCACTTAGAAGATAATCATCAGTAATTTTTAGAAGAAAGCTCAAAAGTAGAATCTATAAACAATAAATTGGGCTATATATTGTTCTATATATGGTATGTGATTTTAGCTATTCAAATAAAAATGAGATTAAAACTTCATGATCACCTATCACTAAACTAAGATCAAAGTCAAAGCAGGCACTTGGGAGATTAAAGTGTAGGGTGTAGCTTCATTGTAGAGAGTTTTCTCAGCATGAGTAAAACTCTGGGTTCAATCCCCAGAACTGGAAGGAAAATAATAAAACAGGACATTGTCCCACGTGGGCTTAATCCACCTTTCTCATTTTCAAGTCTTACTAGCAACATGTGTAAGAAATTCAAACACGTAAAATAGTGTATTTGGCTTAATATGCTCAAGTATGGGAGATTTAATAAGCTCTAAAGTAAGCAAATTTAGTGTTTTTGTTTTTGTTTTGCCAAATCTGAGGAAAAGACATTTCTTGAATAGTTAAGAAACTCTTGATTTATAAGGAATTAATAACTGCTTGGTTTTATAAAAAAAACTTCGTATTTTTAATTCAGAAAGCATAAACACCAATATCTTTTAAAAATAAGATCATTTAGGTCCTAATGAATTCTGTTCACTTTGGCTTTTTCTTCACCTTGACAGGAAATGGCCAAAGCACAGGGCCTCTGGAACTTGTTTTTGCCAGCTGTGAGTGGTCTGAGCCAGGTGGACTATGCCTTGATAGCTGAAGAAACAGGAAAATGCTTTTTTGCTCCAGATGTCTTTAACTGCCAAGCACCAGGTTACTAATTAATTCAAAACAGAATTTTCTCGGATACTGTTGAGCATTATTTAAAATTTCTACCTTTCATTGATAAAGTTTTTCTACATAGTCACTGATTTGTAAATTTCACTATAACTTTTATTTTTCATATGCTTTGATTTAAATATAAAAATGGACTTGATGTCTTGAGGTTCTCATTGAACTACTCTTTTGTTAAACATCATTACAGTAAGGGAAATGGTGAAGAAAAGTAGCTACAAAAGGGATTGGTTATAGAGGATCCTGATTTCCTAATTGGAGATTTGGTATTTCTACGGCTCATGAGATTGAATAAAGTTCCAAATCTTTTGGTTAGCCTCACTATCTCTCCATTCATTTGCCAATTATTGATTATCTACTATGTGCCAACCACAGGTCTTTATGATAGGGAATAAAATAGTCAGTGAACCTTGCCTTTAAGGATCTAATTCTAATAAAGGGAAACAAAAATAAATAATAATGATAAGAAATAAGCAAATTAAGCAGTAAATCTGAGGATGAAAAGTACTTTGTAACAAAAATAAATAGCAGGATAGGGGTAGGTTACAATTATGAGAAAATGACATTTGATAAAGAGGTAGAAGGTGATTGAGTGACTTAGCTCTACTGATACTTGGTGGGGAGGGGAAGTTTTCATAGCAGAAGGAACAGAAAATTCAAAGACCTGAAAGCAAAAGTGTTATTGGTGTATTCCAGGAATAACTAAGGAGGCCAGTGTGGCTAGAGGAAGAATAGCAGGAGAAGGGTTCAGAAAGGAAAGGGCCTCATGTGTTGGGCCTTATTGGGCAGGTAAGGGGTTATACCTTCAGGAAGAAGAGGAACCTTTGGGAATTTGGAGCAAAGCAATGATAAGATTAACTTCAGATCTAGAAGAATCACTTTGGCTGCTATGTGAGAACTGATGAAAGGAGGGAAGGTGGGAAGCAGGAAGTCTACTTCAGTGATCCTGGTGAGAGATGATGATGGTTCAGACGAGGGTAGTTGTGGAGGGAGTGGTGAGTGGAAAGATTCTAAGGATATTTTGAAGAGGGAACCAAGAGGATTTCCTGATTAAATATGGGTTGTTAATGGAGGAGTCAAGGATGCCTCTGAGGATATTTGTGAAAAATCAAATGAAGGAAGGAGAGGTAAACCTAGAATGTAGTCTGTTGGAGGTATTTTCAGACCTGAATTTGTAGAACTGCTTAAGAAGCTTTGGAGAAATTCATATTCCCAAGCTCCATCTCTACAGATTCTAATTTAGTATATCTAAAGTAGGAATGGAATGTCTCCCCCTTCTCCTGTCCCCAGTTACTCTGGTTATTCTGATGCTATTAGTCAAGGACTTTCACTTGATTTGTAATAGGATGGTAGTATCCCCACACAAGTTTCATGCTCATTGTATGGCCTTGTGGCTAAGGCTTTCCCCAAGAGTTAAAGCAGTATTAAGCTGCCAAAAAAAAAAAAAAAAAAGAGAGAGAGAGATATGCAACTATATTTGACTTCTGGGAGAAAACATATTCTGGATTTAGCAAAGTGGCTTCATTCCAGACTTTATCTCTCTCTCTCTCTCTCTCTTTTTTTTTTTTTTTTTTTGGCATTACTAAGACAGTTCATAGATGTCTGATGATGACAGAGCTTGGCCCTGAGATGATTTCCCTTTTCAAAATACTGATCCAAAAATCACTCTACTGCATTGTAATCTAATAATGATACATTGTAAATGAAAAGGAATCTTTCTGCAAAGTTTCTGAAGAGTTATACCAATTGAATAAAGCTATTACAATATACTACAATAGGTAGCATGAGTTTGTAGAAAGGGAAATTAATTAGTGATCTTCTAACTTGAAACGTTTTTATTGCTATTCATGGTAAGAAATATACATTATATTGTGACCCAATATGTAGCATTTGCATGGGCAGATGGATGGATGGATGGATAAATATTCCTACATGTTACAAGAAACAAAAGTTTCATAAAACAGTACTTTCGATTACTACATGTAGTACATTCAGATATTTCCCACTAAATCTAATCTAATGTATTCTGTTTTATTTTTTAAGGCATGCTAGCCATATTTAATCAGACTGATTCCATGATACACAAATGGCCATAATATGACAAATAAGTCTCTAGGAGACATTCTTGCAGATACAGCTCTCCCATTATTTTCCATTTGACCTGCGAACTCACTTGTTACTAGATGGTCATGGATTTTTTCCTCATATTAAAATTTCATAAGTCTATCACTTGTATTATTTAAATGATATCAGAAAACTGTTGAAATTTTCAAATTGGGCAGGAAAATATATGTTATTTGATCAAGGAATGATTAGCAATTCTACTCAGCAAGTAAGATATATAAAACTGGAAGTAGAAAACTAGGTGTTTTCTTTTGTGGTAGAGATATCTTCATGAAAGCCTTGAACATTGTGTTTTAGAGCATTTCCAAAGCAGATGAAGAAAGGAATGTAAGTGATGCTGTTAAATACGTTATGAACTTTCTTAACTACAAAAGATCAGTTTCTATCCAAGTTACCTAAATCATTTCCCAGATACCATGATTATAACATGTGTTTTTCCAATTTGTATATTTACCCTTAAATAAATCATGCAATATTGTATATTGGAATGTTGGAAATAGCAGTTTTAATCCCAAATCTACTGCTGGATTTGGGGGCTGTTGGGATGATTTTTTAATGGGAAAACATTTTTTTGTAGAAATAATGGAGCTTACTTTCACAATTTATAAATGATAATTTTGACAGCTTCTCAGAATAACTGATAATTTTGGAATATTTATTCAATATTTATCTTAGTTGAATTATAAAAAGTAACACTGGATTTAAAACAAGCAAAGAATGCAAACAATGAGTTTCATCTAATGTAACTCAAGACTAATTTTCTGTCTTATTTAATGTGAAGCTTCAATTAATCTACTAGGAATTTTGTGCGTCTTGGTTATATAAGGAATATCTGAACAGAATACAAACATATCTAGAAGGACTTAACTTAGATTTAACTTAGTTTTCATAGGCATTGAAGTAATTATCCTTAAAGTTGTTCTAAGACTTGATACTGAAAAATTGTTCTTCAAAATCTTGAGTAATTTGCACAAAAGGGAGATGTTTTACATAGTATGTTTAGAAATCTGATCGGAAAATCCACAAAGGTGTCATAGAGCATTCTATTCATGGAAAACATGAAGCATTGCTTTTTTGGCTGAGGGAGATACCACAGTGTATCATGTACCAAATACTATCATCCAAGAGTTGGGAAAGTTATCTGCTGCTGCTTTTTAACCAGGGCAGGGATTCTGTCTTTCACATGCTTGAGAGAAGACTTAGTACTTTTCTGTAAAACGATGTTAGAGATAAAAATAATTGCTATATGAGTTCAGAGGAAAGAGATGTTTCGAATGGGTAATTGGAGGTTCTTGCAGAGAAAAGAGATCATAAGCAGGAATTTATTTACGGATGACTGATAGACTTTCAGAGAAAAGAGCTTGTCCAAGCAAACATGTGGAAGATAGAAAGCCCAGGGCATGTTTGAAGAATAGTATGAAGACTTAAGAACTGGGACATCAGTCAGACATGTAATGTTAATTGTTCTCTTGAAACATTGCATTCACTCCCTGCAGGGCATACATGATTTGCAATTGTAGCAGGCACGATCTATTCTAGTGAATTGTTTTCTTCAGTCTTACTTGATTTAGACTTTATTGGAGCCATGTGTTGCTGGGATGAACTGGGCAAGAGTCTGATTCAGAAGAAATTAAATAAATATGCACTGAATGCCACATACTTAAAACAGTGGCATGCCATCATTGCAAATTGTACTTATTGTGTGTTTCCAAATGTTTTTGTTAGAAAATATTAGCTTTTAAAAGATGCATGCCTATATTTTCTACATAAAGTTGTGAATTTCATACTAGTAAAATTTTAAATGTAAAACAAATGCTTTTTATTCCTATTTGTAGACACAGGGAACATGGAGGTACTGCACCTTTATGGAAGTGACGAACAGAAGCAGCAGTGGCTGGAGCCTCTTCTTCGAGGGGACATTACTTCTGCCTTCTGTATGACAGGTAAAGGCAAATCTCCACTCTCCCCTGTGTCCTCAGTCATCCTGGAGTTGTTATGGGTGAGTTGAAGAAGCATGGAATGTGGCTGTGTGTTTCAGTCAAATTTACCAATGGCCAGAAATGTGAATATGTTTGTTTTGAGCCTGCTTTTAAATTTTGCAGTTTTTAATATGCAGAATAAAATTATCCTCACCTTTGGGAGAACACCGGATGATATTTTTTGGCATCCTGCTTTAGCATTAGTAGCAGAGTAAATCTAGTCTCATAACCTTTTAACTTTCATTTCTAAAATTGCTCTCTAATTTAAGATTTTTTTTGTCCTTATGTGTGAAATATTTGTCTTTGTGATAATTTTATATTGATACAAAGTACTCAATTCTCCTGTAAACCTAGAAAAATGGACATATGACTCAAATTATAATCATACAAGAAACTAAAACTAGGAAAATGTTAATAAAAATACTTTTTATACTGTTTATACATAGGAAACAATAATTAAGAACACTTTAAAAGACAAAACATTGTTTCATGATTGAGTTAAACTGAATTTCAGTTGTCTATAATTAAGTACTTTCAATAAAGGCCAGATTTTATTGTTTTCTATAACTATTTGTAATAACAAAACTGATTTTCACCTAAATGAGTAAGAGGCATTTATTTAACACCCACAGAATGATATAGTGTTTACAATGCACTAACAGGGGGTTACAGAATATGTACAGTCCCTCTCTCAAAAATCTGAGTCTCAAGCTTTAGAAATAGAATACTTCATTCATTCAGGGTTTCCAATGCATATTTATTAAGTACCTACAATGTATAGGAGAGGGGAGGACCAGGGTGGAATTGGGGAAGAATGGAAAATGAAAGAGACAAGGATGCTTCTGTTCTTCAGAGTTTGCATTCCCTTATCTAAGCCTCTTTTGCAAACTAATGATATCTGCCTGCCTGTAAATCCAATCTTTGTTTGTTTACAGAGCCTGATGTAGCTTCAAGTGATGCCACAAATATTGATTGTAGCATCGAGCGAGATGGAGATAGCTATATAATTAATGGCAAGAAATGGTGGAGCAGTGGTGAGTGTTCCACATAATTTTTTCACTCAAAAGATTTGTCCTTTGTGTTATAATAATGCTATGACTCACAGATACTAATTTCATGATCAAAATTCTTTAAATTCTGCCTTTGAAAGCATTTTCAAATTTAGAAATAGTAGATAGAGAAAAAGTAATTTATAAAAGATAATCTGTGCATGTTATTAAAAAAATTTATTATGGGAGTATAGCTCGGTGGTAGAACTCATGTATAGTATGCACAAAGCCCTGGGCTCAATCCCTAGCACAAAAACCAATAATACTAATAAAAATTTATTATGGTACATATTTTTATTGCTTAAAAATACAAGTGTTTAAATGAAAAATGAGAAACTATACATTATAAAGAAACTTTATGCATAGAGTTACTCAACTCTCAGACTCACATAAACAAATGAATTCTTTAGGAAGTTATAAAAATTGGAAGATAGATGATTATAATTTGAGGATTCTTCTAAAACCTACACAATAAACCAACATTTATTAGGATAACCAGGTATTACTAAAGAAAGTTGACATTATGGAAGCAAAACATGTGTTTTTAAGAATTTACCAGGAGTATATGAAAGGGCTAGACAATCTTATGAGTTTTTTTGGTTGTTTTTGGATGTTTCAGTTATTAATTGTTATTCTTTCTGGAATTTTATAAAATTACTTATAAGTTAAGAAACAACAATGACAAAAAAGATTGTTTTGCTACACAATTATTTAGGTACTAAAGTTATGTGAGGAAATTGTTCTTGTGTTAAAATTTAGATAAATAAAAATAATTACAAATGCCTTTTTAACATAAGCCTTTTTATTAATCAGTTTTAGATTTCTAAACTTCTAGTGTAGTGTGTTTTTCTTTTTAAACCTTTTGTATTTTGAAATTATTAGAAATCCACAAGAAGTTACAAAGATAGTACAGAGTGATCTTGGGTAGCCATCACCCATAGATGAACCCAATAATAATAATTATAGTAGAAAATCAAAATCAGGAAGTTGAAATTGTTACAATGCGTATAGAAATCTTTTTCAATATATAACATTATAGATTTGTGTAACCAATAGTATAATCAAGATATAAAAACCATTCCATCACATAAGGATCTTCTTGTTAGTGCTTTGATTTATGCCTATTACTACTATTTCCTATATCATCAATTTTAATTTTCATATTTTGTGTATTTATTGTCCCCTCTTCTTTTTGGCTTCTACCTCCACCATGACCCCAACTCCTTCTTTGTTATAAGTTGCAGCAACAGTGTTTGAGATATGAATTTCAGATTCCCTGCAATTTTTTTTTTATCAAAAGGAAAAGCATCATTCTTATGTATCCAAGCAAAAGGTAGAACAGTTTTACATTTAAATGGTAAAAGAACTGGTTGGCTCTGTAGGACCCTCAGAATCAAAAGGAATCTCCTCTACATTTTGTCTCTGTCTTCTCCAGGATCCATATTTCTTGGCAATTTTCATAATATAATTTTTAAAAGAGGCTCCCATAAAAACATACAGGATTGGGTTGAGGCAGCTGTGAAAGAGTGCGATGCTCTCTGTGATTTGGATGGCAACATCCATGCGTTTGCTCATGTCACAGTCAGTGATCAGAAAGAAGATGGTGTCTATGGCTTGGCATAACTTGACAATGTTATAGGGCAGCTGAGTTACAATGAAAACTATGACAACTGTGAGCAGAACTTTGAGGGGTCGGGCTTTTTTAATGTTTGGCATCTTGATGAGAGTCCTTGCTGTTAGAGAGTAACATACTCCCATAATAAGAAAGGGAATGACAAATCCAATGCAGATTTCCAGTATTTGAATTGATGCTTTCATGTATTTTCCTAGGTGGTGGGGAAAAATGGTAATGCACCTCATGTTGTCATTTACTGTATAAAAAACCAGGTGGGGTATACTCAGCAAGATGGCAGCTGTCCAGACACAGAAACAAATGATCCAGCAAGGTTTTCCCACTCCTGATTGGCTGGGAGCCTTAGTTACTGCCCAATATCTATCTATGCTGATACAAGCCAGAAATTGCATTCCTGAGACAAAGTTTACTGTGTATAAGGCTGATGTTGCTTTACACATCATTTTCCCTAATATCCACCCATGAACTGCATTAACTGCCCAAAAAGGCAGAGTGAATAAGAGGAGTAGATCTGCCACAGCCAAATTCAGGATATATACATCTGTTTTGGTTCTCTGTTTCTTGTAATAGGCATAAATTGCCACAACTATGGAATTGCCTGCAAGTCCAAGGATGAAAGCTATTGTGAAAAAGGCAGGGAGGAAAACTTTTGCAAAATTTCTGACCTCCTCTTTTATACAGATCATTTCATACTGGCTGTAGTCATAAGTGCCATTCATCTCATTTTCCTCATAGTAGTAATCTGTTGACTGGTTCTGCTCCAAAGCCATGACTGCAATCTAGATGGCAAAAAGAACACAAGATACTAATTTTAATATTGCTTAAAAGGAAACAAGCTTTTGACCAGCATATGTTCTATTCTTTCCTAGAGAATAGATTGTTGCTATAACATGTGAGCCTGAATCTGCCACCCTTTAAAAAGCTTTAATGGGAGCCACATTGGAGTATATCCCCCAAATTAGTTACCCATCCTTTTAATTTATGGGTCTGTGTGCAGGAACTGGGATTGACACTGGGATGAAAAACAATACCTTCAGAAATGTTCTTAATCATTAAATCTTAAAATAAAATTGAAGACTTTTATATAAATACAGTTTTTAAAACATGAAAATTTAAGTCAGATTTCAACATAAGAGAATAAAAAAGTTATGATTTTTGCATATATAACAATTTTGTGATGTATATCTATGACAAATTTTAAGAAATAATAAATTCATTTCTCATTTTTATGTCATTTATAAATTGAAGTTAAATAAATTATCTCAGCATCTGTGCTGAAGATTCATAGTTGGCTTTTATAAAACAAGACTCCTTTAGTCAACTTCCCTCCCAAACCAGTCACTACTTGCTTAGGTATACTATTATTTGTTAGCATTATCATCCCTCCTATAGCCCCTAATCCTTTAGGCTATAAGCCTCAACAATCCTTGACTTCTCTCTTCATCCCTTATCTCCAAGCAGCCCACATGTTCTGGTTTTATCTTCCAATTTCGTCTTGAATCTGTCTCTTCCATCTAGTCCACGCTTTTCCACACACCTGCATGATCTGAGCAATGTGACTCTCACTTGGCCTACTACAGTATCATCCTAGCTGGGATCCTTCTGGATACCTCCTCATCATCTTGTCAAAAACATTTTTCTGATTGTTATTTGAGTACTATATTTCTAAATTGCCAGTCTGCCACTTCCCTGCTGTCTTCTTTCCTGAAGGACACATTGCTTTCCCTCAAAGTCACATCCAAGCTTCCTAGCGTGATAAGCTCTCACTGTAATGTGGTGCCACTCCCAGCTCCATCCTCATGCTTCAGTAGGAATATGCTGCTTTGCCAGAATTTGGTGGACACGCAACATGCTGCATCTCACGTCTGCATCATTGCTCATTCTAATCCTTTATCCAGCATTATTTCCCGCCCTTCCCTTAAGAGCCAATTCCTACTCAATCAAATCAGATGTTACCACCTCAGAAGACTTTCCTGATCTAAGACATACCTCCCAAAGAACTGATCCCACCCCAAGGAAAACATGTCCTGGACTGCCTTATCCCTTTAGGCTCTATGATCCCCAAAGTTGGACCTGTTTGATTTGTGATTGTAATTGAAGCCTTGTTAGTGTGCCTGGCACACACTGTAGCTGCTCAGTGAGTATTTGTCAGACTGAAGCTTTGCCGGCATGTATAAAGCTGTTACTCTATAATGGATAGAGGATATGCCAGGAATCTCCTGTTTCAACATGAAGCTGTTGTACTATGTTGGTTAATAATACTTGATAGTACTAAGATAAGCTCACACAGTATTCACAAATTTTAAAAATGCATTTTATGACTTTCAATGTTTTTATTATAGTGCTTAGCATTCTTTTGCTTTTTCTTTAGGCTTTCTATCTTCTTTTGGTTATTTTTATCCTTTGAAGAATCCCAAGTAATTATATAGAAACAATAATAAAGATCGTATTTACAAAGCATTTTGCCAACCATGCTACATTTTCAAAAGAACAATCTGAAACTGGCTAACCCTTTTTGAATGAGTAGAGCAAAGTGAAGCTGGCCCCTGGGGAAAGATACCACATGGAAGAATTGTTTTCATTATGCAAAAAACAAGTACCAAAATTTAAAACTACTATTTTTATCACTAAGATTATTTGAAAAGTTCCAGTCTGGAAGACCACTGTGGTCTTTTTTTAATGAATTAATTATTAACATGAACTTCGTTCTTCTCTTTTATCACAGAGTTCTTAAGCCTGATGATAAAGAATAATATGTCCAAATAATATAAGATATTAAGGCAGGGCATTTTAAAGTAATGATTAATCTTATTAAAAAGGTGAGCAATAGGAATGGAAGTTATTTGTAGAAATTATCCTTATGGCAGACATATAGAAAGTTTTTGTAACTATTATAAGAACAAAAAAACAGTGCTTGTAAAAGAAAGCAAAAGAAAATAGCACAGCAAAACCTATTTTATCATCAATGTTTTACATAGAACTACTGGTACTGAAAATATTTTTGCTATATTCAGATTCTCATTTTAAGGTTAAAGTATACAGTTTTAAGTAGTTCTTTTTGTTCATTTAAATATTAAACTGCTATGCATCTATCTAACCTTCCTCTACATAGGTAAAAATACAGAATCCTTGGACTTTAAAAAAATTATATCCAAGTTAGAATGAGAAAAGAAAGAATGAACCAACCTGTTTCAGCCAGCAAAGAGGAGCAGTCTTGAGTGCAGAGGATAAAAATCACAGGGCTTCTCTAACTCTGGCTACTTTTGTTTTCGTTTTTACACCCCGCCTTTATCTTGGATCTACGAAAGTTTCCTGAAATTTTAAACTCATGAGGACTTGGTCTTGTCTTTCATGTAAAACCATTCTATAAAGTCAAATCCAAGTTCTTAAATGTCCCAGAATACAAATTTGGAAGAATTCCATCTTGTTTCCAAAACTACAGACTCTTCAAAGTTTCCACTTCGCTGAAGAGAACAAGAAAGTGCCTGCAGCTTAGCAACTGAATGCTAAAGCAGGAGATTCACCAGAAGCAGCAACCTTCTCCTTTTGGACGCATCTGGAGAAATACTCTCTGAAGTTATTTTGTTTAAGAAAGAAAACAAAAATGATTTTGACTCAGAAAAATTATCATTTTGAAGACTAAATTATCGAAGACTAAATAATGAGTAATCATTATACATTTACAGTAGTACTTAATACTTTTATGCCACATCATTGAGCAATTTATTTAATCTATAAGAGTCCTGGCTTCCCCATACTCTTTATTTCTCCTTGCCCCAAAGTGCATCTTTCCCCAGACTATAAACTGTCCTGCCTGCTTGTAACATTTTCCTTCAAAGACTATAAACCTTCAAAATCCTTCTGTCTTAGGAGGCTGCTTATTTTTCCATACTTTTACAGAAATGAAAATTAAAGAAAGAAGAAAAGTATATGCAGATGTGGCCCTTTCTGGTCTATTTCAACTCAACTCTCCTCACATTTGCATGGCAGCTGCCTTATTTATTTTCTCATGCAAGGCCAGCCTCAGTCCCCACCTGCAGAAGTTATTTTAGACCCCAGTCATTTTTTTCTTCAAGCCTTTAGTCTAGCCTTCTTGTTGAGTCACACAAAACCAGCTCATTGGGGCCTGCCTTCATTTTCCTGTACCTTCCCTTAATATACATCACAGGGGATAGCCAACTTCTCTTATTTTTGCATCACCCTGAAGAAATATCTGCATGCAGCTAAACTGGCTCACTACCTAGATTTGTGGCATTTGCTACTTTCCATGGTGTTAATATCCCACCTTGGTCAATTTCGAACTACCAAAGTCACTAAAGAGATGGGCATAATTAGCGGACTGAGCAGGCTCTAGCAGTTTTTCCAAGAGCAGCATCATTTCTTCCTGTGACTGATCATTTTCTAATCTCTTGCTGCCTTCTAAAGGATACTGCTCTTAATGTTATCTCTGCCTTGGCTAGACTATCTGGTCTTTCCCTTCTTTTACCCTGGCTGGAGGAAATGAACAAACAACGCTCCACTAAATTCTTACAGTGACCTACAAGATCCCAAAAGTCTGCCTTTCCCACCCCTCGTTGCCTCTTTGACCTCATTTCATACCACTCACCACTTTGCCTGCCACATCAGTGTCCCTGCTGATTAGAACATACCAGGTAAGTCCTCATCATGGCTTTTGTGCTGGCTCTGCTGTCAGTTTGGAATGTGCTTTATCTTAATATTTACAATGCTCACTTCCTCGTCCCCTGCAAGTCTTTGTCCACTCACCACCCACTCACTGAGGCAGTCCCTGACTACTCTACTCAAAACACCCTTCCCCTTCTCCCAGTCTACTTCCTATATCATTTATCATGTTCTGGTGAACCATATCATTCATATTGTTTGCTTCCTACCATCCCTCACCCTGTGTTAGAATATAAGCTTCATCAGAACAGAAACTCTTTATTTGCTTTATTCCCTGAGATATTCTAGACACATAATAGGTATTCAATAAATATTTTGGGTTAATAGCAGTCCTACTGTTCCTTTTGATTATTATCCCATTTTACTTGTCCTTGATGTTATACTTCTACAATGACTGATCAATAACCGCAGCCTCCTTGGGTATCAATTAGATAGTCTCTTCAACCCAGATATAGATTTTGCAATCAGGAATTGTGGGCCTTTGCATATTCTGTTGCTCCTGCCTAGAGGAGCTCCCTCCTGCTCCATTTTAGATCTCAAATTTCTATTTAGAATTCAGATTCCAGTCTGACCACAACATTAAATAATCCAAGAAGCCTTCCATGACTCTTCCAGATTAGGTCAGATATAGCTGCTCTTATGCCTGTAGTACCATCTTACTCTGTTGTTAGTACTTATTAAAATTCCCTGTCTTTTATAGATGTTCTGTGCCCTGCTGCATTCTCAACATTTATCTTGGTGTCTTACTTATGGTACGCACTGACCAAATAATAAATACATACATCAATCAACCAATGTTTAAATAGTATCCTCCACAAACGTATAAGTTTAACACTTGAGCTGAAATTTTGATTTCACGTCTTCAGTTTTATCCACTTTATCATGCTATCTGAACACATTTTAAATATTCCATTATGCTGGGCTGAGGCTGTAGCTCAGTGACAGAGCACTTGCCTAGCATGTGTGAGGCACTGGGTTTGATCTTTAGCATCACATAAAAATAAACAAACAAAGGCATTCTGTCCATCTACAACTACAAAATTTTTTTTAATATTCCATTATGCTATTAGAAACTCTTGATACTATTTTATAGATATTTGAAAGTTTCTCTTCCTTTCCCTTGTTTTCCCCACCCCAGACAACCACATTTTCTTGTAAATTGCATTCCCATCTTGTAAATTAGTTATAATGTTATTAATCTTTACATCTTTTGAATTTGCACATCATTTTTGTGAACTCAAACACAATCCTAGGGGCATAAAGGATGTCAGGATTGAGCTGCAACTCTGGTATCATATAGTGAGTTGTGTGGATTGTAGTAAAACCAACCCACTGGCTTTTTCCTGTATTTTCCTATTCTTCGGAGAGAACTAAGAGGTTGGTGGGAAGAAGAGAGATTTGACAGAATGTAAAAGGTAATCATATAGCTTAGAAGATAAGGAAAGGCATCATTCACCTTAGATAGGTTTTCAAAGAACTTACTTAATGTTTCTTAATTGTTATTTTTTCCTATAACTTTCTTACAGTTTTTATTATATCCCTAAGAACTGAGTCATTATGATTCCAATTTTCTATGAATGAAATATAAAAATGAACTCCTGCCTTGCCCCTGAATAATGTCTCCCCACATCTATTTCCGCTCTCTTTTTTTGTGGTGTTATTTTGCTCAGTAATAGACATTTGGCTAAACTATATACTACATTATCACTGAGAATATCACCAATATTGGGAGATATACTAAGTATAACCTTATGATTTCTCTGTAGTATCCTATTATATATTCAATTTATATTGTATGAGTTTCTTACATCATATTTTTGCTTGAGCAAAATGTGTTATTGCAAATTAACTATAAATGACAAATCAGTAGCTTAATATTTTATTGTATAGATTATTATAATTTGCTTTACCATTTCCTATTATAGACTTCTAGATTGTTTCCAGTGTGTTGTTAATCTAAATGATGTGGAGAGCATATTTGTGGATATTGTGCGGAAAGAACTTAAACCTAATCTCACTCTGGAATTTTAAGGAATGTAATAAATGCATATAATTATCCTCTTTTCCCCCGTACCAAGGTAGTGTTCATACTATTTACACTAAATAATAATCCTGGAGTTCTTTCATATTTGTGCAAAGAAAGTTTGTTTATTATTCTTAGAAGAGTTCCATTATGTGGACATACCACAGTATATTTCAACAGTCTCCTACTCGCGGGCACTAGCTAATGCCTAGTTCTGTGCAAATATTAACAATACCACTGCAATGAATAATCTGCATCTGCTGCTTCACATGCTTACAGGATAAATCATAAAAGTTGGAATGATGGGCTAAAGACTGACTCAGTCTAAAATTTTGAAGAATATTTCTAAATTGTACTTCATAGGAATGTATTACTTTGGTCTCCCAACAATAATTTCCCTAAAATATAGCCTACAGAATGTATTTTACCTTCTGCTTTCTAAATAACTCACAACAAATTCAGTACACTTTACCATTCCCTTACCAGCCATGTGTGAAGTAAACAGCTGTTGAATATTAACTTTGCCAGTTAATAGCTAAATAGTATTCCATTAGTGCATTCTTCTACATTTATTTAATTAATGATAAATTAATAATCTGTTTACAATTTATTTCCTCCTTTTGAAGATCTATTCTTTGTTCACCTTTACACTGATTTTCAGTTGTTATTTATATTCCAAGGATATAATATCATAGTATTAGCTATTATAAATATTTTGTCATAAATGTGAAATATTTTTCCTTTTTTGATTTTTTATAACCAAAGGTAAATTTATTTATTTATTTTTCACATTTTTATTGATGCATTATACTTATACATACTGATGGGATTTGTTGTTACATACTCATGATGCACACAATATGACAATATAACAATATAATTCTCCAGCACTTCCTTTCTTCCTCTCCATCTTCCTTGATCCAGTTCCTCTATTGATTTCCCTTTGATTTTTAGGAGACCCACCCCCAACTTTGTTTTCGTTTTTCTTCTATAGCTTCTACATATGAGAGAAAACATATGACCCTTAACCTTCTGAGTTTGACTTATTTTGCTAAACATGATGGTCTCTAGTTCCATCCATATTCCTCCAAATGACATAATTTCATTTTTCTTTATGGCTGATATATGTGTACATATATCACATTTTCTTTATCCATTCATCCATTGATAGACACCTAGGCTGGTTCCATAGTTTGATTATTATGAATTGTACTGCTATAAAGATGGATATGCATGTATCACTGCAGTAAGATTACTTTCATTCTTCAGGGTAAATATTGAGAAGTGGTATAGTTGGGTCATATGGTAGTTCCATGCCTCGTCTTTTGAAGAGCCTCCATGCTGATTTCTAGGGTGGTTGTACTAATTTACAGTCTCACCAACAGTGGAAAAGCTTCCTGTTTCCCCACATTATAATCCTTTCCAGCATTTATAATTATTTGTATTCTTGATGACTGCCATTCTGACTGATATGAGATAAAATCTCAATGTAGTTTTTATTTGCACTTCCATAATTGCTAATGATGTTGAACATTTTTCCTTGTATTTGTTGGCCATTTGTATTTCTTCTTTTGAGAAGTGTCTGTTTAATTCATTTGCCCATTT